GATTAGTAGCTTTTGGGAAAATGGAATGCCTATTTTCTATTGCTTGCGGGATGCAAATTCTTGTGGTTGGCACATTGGAGCAAGGGTGAAGAAGTTAGAAGTGAAAACAGTTGATCACGAAGACGCCGCTGGCGTCGGTCTTGACCGACCGGACGGGGGTCTAAAAAGCACCGGACCACAGCTCGTGTGTGTCCGGTCAAACCCAGCGGATCTCGCAGCGATCTTAGAGGTATTGCACCGGAATGACGATCCGTGTTCTGGTCAAGGTGGACGGACGCGTCCGGTCAAAGAAATACACCTCGGGAGAGCTTCTTTGAAAGCGACCGAACGCTGGGGCTTCATGCAGGTCGGTTTTTACCGGAGCGTCCGGTCAAGGCAGATGACCGTTGAAATTGGTACACGTGGCTAACAGCGAGCGACCGAACGCTGAGGGCTCAGCGTCCGGTCAACTGACCGGAGCGTCCGGTCACCCCGTGTTTGACCCAGTGAAGGGGTACAACGGCTCTATTTTGTGGGGGCTTCTATTTAAGCCCTATGGCCGGCTCAAGCTCATTCTCTTGGCCATTTTCATTGACATAGCAACCTTGTGAGCTTAGCCAAAGCCCTCCCACTCATTTGCATCATAGATTAAACATCTTTGTGAGATTGGGAGTGATCCAAGTGCATTGCTTGAGTGATTGCATCTAGAGGCACTTGGTGATTGTGTTTCGCTGCGGATTTCGCTTGTTACTCTTGGTAGTTGCCGCCACCTAGACGGCTTGGAGCAGCGAGAATCATTGAGCGAAGGGTGGTGATTGTCTCCGGCTCCGATCGTGGTGATTGTGAGGGTTCTTGACCTTTCTATGGGCGCCAAAAGTACTCTAGTGGATTGCTCGTGGCTTGTGTGATCCTCATCTTGTGTTGGTTGTGTGGCACCCTATTGAGGGTTTGGCGTGTGAAGCCAATTAAGCGCGTGAACCTCCAAGTGAGTGAATCGCCACTAACGAGGACTAGCTTGCTAGGCAAGCAAGTGAACCTCGGTAAAAAATCATTGTGTTCATCATTGATTCCGAGATGATTGGTCTTCATTGTTATCCACACTCGTGATTGATTGGTTCATACATCTATCTGGTAGGTATAACCTTCTTGCCTACTCTTTACATTACATAAACTAGTTGTTAAGCTCTTTAGTGTAACTAGTTGTGAGAGCTTGTTAGTTTGGTTAGTGTGGCTCTTTAGTTAGCCTTTGAGAGCACACTAACTTAGTGTAGTGATATAGCTATTGTGTGGATATACTCCATCTAAACTAGAATTGTGGTAGGTGGCTTGCATTTTGGTAGGCTAGCGCAAAACTCGCTTCGCCTCATAATTGTCTAATCCTTTTATTAAGTGTTGTTGAAGAAATTTTATTAGGATATTCACCCCCCTCTAGCCATTAGGACCTTTCATCATGCCAATTGGCTCATTAAGTCATCAATTTTAAGGACACTTGGTGCATTAGGTGGTACAAAGATCCAAGCAAGCATTTACCTAGAGGGACATCGACGCCATGAGACAGTCGTTCTGCTAGATACCAGTAATTGGAAGTTGGACTGCATGAAGACCCACAAAATAGATACTTCTCCAACCACATGTTCAAGAAGGCTATGTGTTCCTTAGGGTCGGCTTTCCTGTTTCGAGTGCCTTGTGCACAGCGATATAGCCTCCCCACCCTCTAGATCTAACACTCTGAACCTTATGCTCTGGCTTCCAATAAGATCGTAAGATTGGAGGGTCCCTTTGATTTTGAGACCAGTCAGCATGTGGATATCATCCAGAGTAACTGTCATCAGCCCATGTCCAAATATGAAGGCGTTGAAGGCATTGGACCAGAAGTATGAAACTGATTTCATCATAGGTTCGTTCTTCTTTATGTTCGATAAATAAAGGGCTATGCACTGGTCGAGATCATAAGCCACACAACTAGTTTGGTGGGTCTTAGCTACTCTAAGGTGCCAATCGCTCCACCCGTCCAGGGGAAGCGGCTAGGCCCTAAAAGTTTTGTTCCATGCTAAGGGACTCATGGTGGATTGCTTAAACAGAAGCCTATCTGTTTCTAAATTGATGAGCTCAGTTAGATCTAGATCGCCCATCGGACCTAGAAGGTACGTGTTCTCGATGGTGGTGGGAATCAAGATTTCATTCCAAAGATCCTAAAATCAAGAAGGGCGAATCTATAAGCTAAGGATTGGGCAAGAAGAGCAATTGATTGAAAAATCTACGGATCGTACCTCTAGGACGAAGTCGACAGTCGCCATTGAGCATTGGGTGGTAGATCTAGATCTACGAGCAATTGTTAATGTTGGGCTGCTAAATTGAGCCGCCACCCCAAGGTTCTGCGAAGAATAAGTAGGGTGTTGGAGCAAGGTTGAGGCTTTGGATTCGCTAGGGTTTGGCGCTCAGGAGGATTGCGGCGACTGACAAATGAAGCAAAAAGGAGGGATGTAGCCAGAAAGACCGAGCGAAGAAGACAGGGGCAATTTTGTGAATATAGTGAAAATCCTTGCCCAGAGTCGGAAACCAAGGCAGAGGTTTCGGTGTGAATGCACCATACGCGCAACGGTCACGGGGATAATTTTGGAATAAAATCATTTTATCCAAAAATTATGGGACATGTGTTGACACCGGAATTTGGTTCGGGATAATACAACCCTGAAGTTAGCCGAAATATTCAACCAAATCGGCTAATCGGATTGCCCATGAGATGGCATCATCACCTCAAGAGGATGGGCCCAATCGACAGAGGAGCAAGAAGACACGTCGGACCTCATAGAAAGGAAAGATTGAGGTCCAAGTTATCATAGTTTAGGACACTTTCATTTTCTTTTCCAAGATTGTAATTGGTCTTGTTCGACCAAGACTCGTAGTCCAGCCTCGGGTACAAATATTGAACCCCGACCATTGTAATAGACATCTCCAATGATCAACATAAATCATTACCTTTACTTTTTGGCTCACGCCACCCCTTAAGAGTAGGACTAGAGTAGATTTTGATGAGTTCTTCGACGAGTAGGGTTGCATCGGTTAGGTCCGACCTCCGGTTTGTCTATGAGTATCAGTCACGACTTATACCTTGTTTGTAATGCTACATTAGTTAGGTCTAACCTCTTGCAAGCTTTATATAAGTTAGTTATCATTAGTAAATTGTAAGGCTACCATCGGTTAAGTCTGATCTCTTGCAATTGCTGATAGTTATCCTTGGTTCTTGTCAAAATCCACACGACTACCCTCGGTTAAGTCTGATCTCGTACGAATTTTGATTAGAACCCCCTGCCCAGTTAAGATTGAGATAGATCGGCTTTGTATCTTTTTGAATTGTCACCTCATCATACTACATTGTTTATATCCTGCTTTGACGATGGTTCTTGCTAGTCTAGCCGTTCTATTCCGATCTTGATCGAAGATAGCATGTGGTCAAGGCATGTTTAGCCCTAGGTAAGGCTTGCTAGTTGATGAGATCCGGTCTACAAGTGCTTTTATGGTTGCATCGGTTAGGTCTGACTCCCACTACTAACATCATAGATTGGAAATTGTCAAGTAGTAAGCCTTGATTATGGCCAAGCATAGTCTTCGGCTGCATTCTATATCTGCATCGGCTATTTAACCGATCGCCAGAGCTTTCATGATGCGTGTTCCTGCGATCTCGTTAAGCGTTTATAGATCTATATGCTTTGATTGTTTAAATTGTTATCTTTATTATGGTTGCATTGGTTAAGTCTGACCCCCCACTAATAAAGGTAGTATATTGGATCTGATAGGCGTACAGGTTTATACGCGTCTGATGGTTGAGTGGTTGCATGCTATGACCCTCTATTGGTATATTTTAACGCACATAAATAAATCCACAAGCGCACGAATACCTCTATAGCTTTCACCTAGAAGTATTTCAAGTATCGTATCTACATAAAAACGTATGAAACTAACTACAGTTTAACTTAACTAGGGGTAGCAACAAGGTTAGGATAAATAGGAGCGTAGAGAGAAAAACTAAGGTTCTCTAGTTCTGGCTTGGATACGCTATGTCTTCTACTATTCAATTAGGGACATTACTAGAAAAAGACACCAACAGAGGATGCTTTTCTTCGTAACCGTTTTCTACTTGCGCCTACAGATGGGAGGTGGACTATAAAAGATCAAAGAAGCTATATAAAACTGATGTCACACACACGATCTACCACCATCCGGAATGCAGGGGTGGACTACAAAGGATCAACGAAGATATATAGTACATGCTATATAGAACTAATGTCACACACACGATCTACCACCATCCGGAATGCAAGGTGCATCTATGATTAACCTAAGTCTAAGCACCACGCTTACACTTACAATTAATACTTTGACCTAGAGTCTATAGATTAAAGCACTCAAAAAAGAGTCGTGATCCTGATGAATAATATAAACAATTACTTACTTGAATCAGAAGTTGATTACCAGAGAAATCTCGAAGGCAAGCTCATATAGAACTTGGATCCGCCAAGGTTCAAGTCGTAGAGAGGGCACCGACAGTCCGGCACCTCCTCCAAACTCTTCCCTCATTCCCCATTTCACTATTTGTATTTATAAGACTAGATCCTATAAATAACTAATCTTCTCTTGATAGCAGGCTCTGATCCTAACGAGGAGAATATGAATTAAGGTTTGGTTATCATACATCATGAACATGCTAGATATCGACTCTTTAGTTGATAGCCTTATCGTACTGGCCACTTGGCCGCACATTTGAAACAGTCTGGACAAACGACCGGCATGTTCCACCTTAAATTACTGATCAATCTCGCTCCCTTGTCAATTGCAAATCAAATTGACTGGCACGCCTCCCGAGGTCACGACCGTCTGATCCGGTGGTGCCCTTCCAAAAGCCCAGAGAGAAGCTCGAAAACTGCTCTGCGCGGGCCTCTCGCCGTCGTTGATCACTGTGTTCCCGACGTTGAATTTTTGGCCTCGACACCTTCATTTTTTGAGTCATGGACAATCTTGCCTTATGCTTGGCCACCCATCTTCAACTGAGAAGTGCCCACGTCTTTAATTCGCTTACTCTGCCTCACATCCTTGCTTACTTCTTGTTCAGCTTCCACCATTGGTTTCAGAGTAGACACATGCTTGTCCCAGTCATATTTCTCCTCAATTATCTTATCCATCTTGGTCCCCTGATTAACATCAGCCTTGCTGCTGTCTTCCTCAACCCTGGTATCTTGCAAATTGCCCTCACCTCTGTTGTGGCCTTTAGCACTATCCACATCCATTTCTGTTAACTTAGAACCCTGACCATCCTCCTGGATTAGATCCCAGTCAATGTCCTGACTCCCCTTTTGCTGAGACTCTTCTTGGCTTGACAGGTTGACCTCAGGGCCACCTTGGCTTCCTTTCATAGGGCTCATAGAAGTAGCTCTAACAACTTCACAGTCCTCTTTATCCTCCATGATGGTAGGAAGACTTTTACTGGATCTAGACTTTCCAATATAATCCTCAAGCTGGAAGAACTCACTCTTGTCACCGCCATGCAAAGCATTTTTTGCTTCTATAGTGATCAGAGGATCTTGCTTGTATTTCACCAGAGTATCAAAATTTCCAAACCTTAACTGATCAGATCCAGGAGCCACAAGGTCTCCAATCTTTAAGCCTTCATCCTCACTATCTTCATCAGAGCAAGCTTGTTGTTGGTTTACTTTCTGTGAACACTGACTAGAATCAGCACTGACCTGCTTCCCTTTGCCCACATTAACATTGTTACTGGGTCCAACTTTAAAGGTCTGACCAGAACTCTTAGCTTGCTCCATATTCTCTGCTTTTTAGGAGAAGGAGCATCATCTTTTGGCTTATCTCTCTTATTTCTGATCCATTGAGTCCTAGTAGGATTAGTGTAGCCTTCCTGAGGCATCTCCCTCTGGAAAAAATAGTCAGAGAACTAAAAATCCAGCAGACCATCCACTGATGCAGGCACCTTAGTAACATCCCTACAGCCTATTTTGACTCTAACATAGTCATTTTTGTGCAAATTGTCTTTATCCACCTCCAAGGGAAGCCAAACTTTAGAGGCAACCATGCATTCATTTGAATAAGATCTCTTTTCACAAGGGATGTTAGTAATCCTGAACCAAGCCACATCTAAAGGACCCTTGGAACCAGTAGCAGGGTTCCACTTCTCAAGCTTAATCACCACATCTGGCACAGATCTCAGTCTCATTTTAGTGAAATGTGCTAAATCTTCAATTGTCTGCGCATTGGGGAACCTCATCTGGTATTTTCCTTCCCCCACTCTTTTGGCAAACCACCTCCAAGTTGAGTTGAGGCCAGCCTTAAGCTTGAATTCATTTTCAATCTGTCTAGCATTAACCTGACCAGAAGTTACACAGTAGTGGACATATCCTTAATCCCTTCCTCAGTGCTAGTGCTCTCAATGACATGAAACCCCTGCCCATAAGCAGACAAACCACAAAAAGGGGAGATGAACTCCTAGGGCATCTTAGTCATGCAAGCTCTAGCCACATGGCCTTCCTTATGGCACCTTGAACACACAACCGGATTACGACAAGCAGTACCCACGTGCCCAACCTTGCCACACCTTGGACAGAACTGAGGTATGTCTTGAGTCTCTCTAGGAGCCTCACATTCTGTATTTTCCCCTCCTGAGTATTCTGATTATCATTCGTAATGATCTGGGTATTGTCATTGGTAGAAGTTTCAACCTCAGTGGAGTCCACCTTCAGATTTGGGTTAGAATCCTCCTTCTGATCCACCTGAGACGGCTGCTCATTCTGACGATTTGGAATCCTACCTCAGTCACCGATTCCACGGCCTCCTGCGAAATCTACCGCCTCTACCACGAGGAATCCAACCCCTGTTTCCTTGCCATCTAGTTCGGTATCCTCCACCCCGATTACCATCATACCCCGAGTTGAAGCGCCCCTGGGGATACGGTCGTTGATCCATGTTCCTCACAGGCTGCGAAGGAGCCTGAAGAACCTGTGAAAACGAGCGGGTGTTACTTCCAAAGGTAGACCAACGAGAGATCGCCGGGGTAGCACTGCCAAGGGGAACTATCACCGGTAGGCTGGAAGCCGACTTCTCCGACCACCGCACGCTAACTTCCCCGCAAACCCCAACATCTACGCTATGCTTCCAGAGATGAACTAGACGAGCGCTCAAATCCACATCGGGATGGTCACGTACCTCGTGTGGAAGCCGTGTCCTAGACCCCGTGCGCCCCTCCGTCGCGATTCGCAAGGAATCGCTAGGGTTTCCGCCCTCACCAGACGAGACGGGAGAATGTGATGAGAGAATTGGGGAAGGCGAGGACAAGGAATCCGAGACCTCAAAAGGAGATTGGAACGCTCCTCCGCCTCCCGGAGATCGCCTTGGCCCAGAGGTCAACGACTGCGGAGGAGTCAAGACCTGGGGCGCATCCGCAAAAAGCAAAGTCGGCTCAACCCCAATCCGTGCGCACGCACCTGCTCCTGTAGCTTGGGTCCATGGCGCGGACCTCTCCTGCTCACGTGGCGTGGCCGCTCTCGTGACCGCGCCGCCCCCGTCGCCATGGCTCGTGTCGCCCGAGTCGCGAGGAGAGAGACGAGACATCTCCAGGTGCGGCCCTCCTGCTAGCTAATGGACAGATTTTGGACTGTACTCAAGGGAAGGCACGTATTTGCAGGGCTACAGTACATGTCATCGTCTGTCCTGCCGTTACGAGTATTCCATTACAGTATCATCAGGCAACTAAAATATACTAAGAATACAACTATAGGTTGCGTGCCACGTAAAGTGATTTACGTTTGACCAAGTTTCTAGTAAATAGTATTCATATTTACGACTTCAAATTAATTTATTATAAAAATACATTTTGTAATTAATCTAGTGATATTTATTAGATATTATAAATATTTATATTTTTTATCTATAATTAGTTAAAATTGGTATATGAACACGTGACATCGTTCCGGAACTACATTCTTTTTTGGACAGAGTGGGTACGCATCGAAAATGTGAACCTGACATGAATTGCGAATGCCACCGTACGGCACAACATGCCAGCCGCCAGCGTAGAGCTATATGAACTTGTGTTTACGTTATCCGGGAGAAGTTTGCAAAATTTTCAGTAAAATACAGTAGCGGCAGACACGACACATCAACGCCGTCGCTGTCACTGCTCTTTTATCCGATGTAGCTCTGTACGGAGAAACTGACGCTAATCCGGTGGCATAATCCGAACCGAACCCGGAGAGGTGTAATCCGTATAAACCGAACCCGGAGTCAAAATGTCAATGGGAATTCCCTGTCGGGGGTTACTGCCCCATCCCCGTCCCTGCGGAGGCAAATTTCTCCGTCTCTGTTCCTGTGAAGGCTCGTGGGGAGCACTTCTTCTCCATCCCCGTCCCCGCTCGGGGATTTAATCCCCGCGGGGATCCCCGTCCCCGCATCAACCGCTCATAGAAAAGACATGGTACCGTGTCCGTTAGCGAGCGACGAGAGCGAGAGGGACGGGGAGGGCGGAGCCGCCGGAATCTTCGACCAGACGGAGGGGCGCCGCCGCCCCCATTGCCTGGGAAGCTAGGCGAGCACGCTGCTGCCGCGAGGGAGGAGCTGGGGGTCACCGTACCGGGGACAACGCCTCAAGTGGCGCCGCCGCTCCCAATCGCCTTGGGAGCTGGGCGGGCACGCGGCTGTCGCCAGCCATGGAGAGATCCGATCGCGTGGAGGAACACGCCGCCGCCGGTCACGCGGAGGAGGTCGAAGCTGTGGATTTGCACCACCACATCACGCCCATCTCCACCACCACCATCAGATCCACGACGGTAGGTGAGGAGGGCGCCGCCAGTCGCGCGGAGGAGGGCGCCGCCGGTTGGATCTGCCATGGGCTTCAAGAGTGGAGGAGGTGGGGCGCTATCGCGGTCGCCGCCGCCACCGGATGGAGGGGAGAGGCCGCCGCCACCGGCATCGGGTGGAGACAAGGGGGCTCTGCCTCCATGGTTGCTGCTTGGGTGTGGCGTGAGGCAGCGGCGGTCGGGGGCGACAGGGGAGGGGATTGGGAATTTGGGAACGAATGGAAAGGATAAGGGTAGGGTTACAAATTGCCTTATATATGTACATAGAAATTGGGCCTTCTCAGATGGGCCTTAAATATTTCGGGTCCCCGCAGGGAACGGGGACGAGGGCATGCATACCATCCCCGCCCTCGTCATACCCAATGGGGATGATTTTTTCCCCGTTTAATTCCCCATGGGGAGAAGATTTATACCATCCTCGTCCCCTAATGGGTGAATTCCTCGCGGGGAATCGGGGAACGGGGCCCCGTTGACATCTTTAACCCGGAGGCGGTTTCGGTTGGGTTCCCTCACTTCCCTGCACTGCGCGCTCACTCAGCATTCCGTGGGTCGGTCGGTTTGTTCGTTACTTCCGGTGTTGTTGTCACGCACCTATGGGACTATATATACTCCCTATAAATAATAGACGAAGCTTAGCCATCGCCCCCATCTGTATCGGGCTCCACTCGACACTCAACTCAGGCGATCTGATTCCTTCCATGAATCAGCTCTTCCGCGATCCACCACCCAACCCACACTATCGTGGGCACCACCATAGCCGATGGTTGCGCCAACGCTGGGTGCCTCGGTGCCGCACTCGTGGCCTGCGGCCTCCTCCTCTCCAGCGGCAGCGTGGGCGTCGCCTTGTCTAAGCAGCCAGCAGGGTTGTTTCTAGGAGAGCCAGTAGCCTACTACGGCCTTCTGATCGGCCTAATGGGCTTCGCCAATAGTCTATGCATAAGGCCACCTAAACAAAAAAATGCATGGTGCACAGTAAAAAAATCCCCCTCCAACAGAGTAGGCAATCAGACTACCCATTTTGCGTCGAAGGAGAGAGGGAAGGCAAATAAGCATCCTCCCGACACACGACCCAAATCTCTGGCCAGCGGAGGGCACGGCCAGGTAGTGCGGCCGAGGAGGCAGCAGGTGGGGAGGGTGGTGTGCTTAGGTGCACCGGCGCGTGGCAGGACCCTGAGCTAGGGCTAGGCGTGCCCTGCGCGGCAGCAAGGCAGGGTCATGCGCCCAAGAGAGAAAAGGGAGAGAGAGAGAGAGAGAAAGGGAGAGGAGAGAGAGAAGGCAAGGCGGAGGGGGAAAGAGAGGGAGAGCGAGCCGTGGGCGGCGGTGCTGCTTTGCCACAGTGCGGCGTGGAGAGGAGATAGAGAGGCAGGGAGAGGAAGGAGAGGGCATGGCGCCCGGGCTCGTGGCCACAGCTCCAGCCAGCAGTGGAGGCGCCAGGCGACTCCGTGGCGGGCTCGGATTAAGGCGGCAGGCGGGGAGAGGCAGGGAAGAGTGGAGGAGGAGGAAGGGAGAGAAGGAGAGGGATGGCGTGGCGGTGGCTTTGAGCTCAGCAATGCAGCCTGTGCAGAGAAGGAGGCTTTCAGCGGCGGCTAGGGACCTCGGCGGGCAGAGCCGAGTGCGGCTCCGGCTTCGTCGACATCCCCGTCTCCTGCTCGAGCTCAGCTCCCTTGGTGCCAACGTCGCCAGGGCCTGCGTCCTGCAGCTGCTCGCCTTCACGGACGCGCTCACCTCGCTCGGATGCGGTCCGACGTGGGCGCGGCATGACCCGCGCGCCTCGCTCGGATGGCGACGCCAATGGAGGAACGATGGCCTCGCGTGGATCCGTCGGTAGGAGGTGGCGAATTTTGGGTTCGCTATTGGAGAAGATAAGATTTGGGTGCGTGACCTTCTCATTGTACGTGACCCAAATCATAGGTCTTGTGTTTGGGTATATGCTGTTAGAGATAGTCTAATAGGTCTCCATGTCTCGCGAGCCCATGAAAAGCAGCGCACCCTAGGGCTGACTGTTCTATGTGCTTCACTTGTGCCGGTCGCGGCGTTCGCGGGCCTTATGTGGAAAGCTTAGTTAGCTAGCTAGTGTCTGACTGTTAGATGATGAGACTTACTATTTAGGTGTATATTTATATATGATGATCAATATTTGTTTGGACAGGCTGTTTGATGCGTGGATTTTACTTTTATCTCGATTAAATTAAGATTTTTGCTATTTATCTGTCAACAGATTTTTGTTATTAAAATCTGTTGGATTTTGGACCATTGGATTTGCTTTAAGATTTGTGTTGCATGTGTTCTCATCTTTCTGAAATAATTTTTTCGTTATCGGGTCTAAACCCGCGTTTGAAGAATCCATAACCCGCCTCTACTTTTCTCTTTCCACGGTGACTCATAAATCACAATCCATTTCTCTCTCTCTCTAAATCGGCCGGTAGGCGCCCCAAGGAGGATGGCCAGCCTCCGGCGGCTTGGGAAGAAGCACGGCCGCACCGTGGGGACAAGGAGCAGAACCGGCTGCTGCGGAACCGCGTGTCCGCACAGCAGGCACGGGAGCGGAAGAAAGCGTACCTGACGGAGCTGGAGGCGGCGAAGGCCAAGGACCTGGAGCTCCGCAATGCCGAGCTTGAGCAGCAGGTGTCCACGCTCTAGAACGAGAACAACACGCTCCGCCAGGTGCCGGCTCACCTCCATCCATCCCCCCATTCATTTCCGCGATTCGATCTGAGCTCTGAAGCGTTCCTCTCGTTCTGAGTGACTGCGCTCCCCCCCCCCCCCCCGTGCTCCCGCCGCGCAGATTCTGAAGAGCACGACGGCGCACGAGCTAAACTATTTCGTGTTGTTTGTTCTAAGTTTATGTGGATATATAGTGTAGGTAGTATCGAGTCTATTATGTATTTTTGGTTTGCCTTTGGCCTGTAAGATCTGCTGCCTTATTTTTAGAAGAGCAATTGCCTTGAATAACAGTCGCATGAGCTGAACTATTTTTAGAAGAAGAGCAGTTGTAGTGTTAATTATGCATGGCCCTTTTGGTTTGGAAAGGGATTTTTTCATGAGAAATCTGTGATATTCAGGGTATTGGGAAGGGCTCATTTTCTGATACTGCATTTTTTATCTGTTAGATACTTGCTGGGCTATGGCTTGCTGCAACTAGGTATTTTCGCTGTTACATGCAAACATGATTGAATAGCTTTTTTTTGTCCTCTGTGGCCTTTGAATGGCCGGATTGGCTTCGTATTATGCTGCCAGCCACGGAGTGAATCAAATCTCTTTGTGTGGTAATAATGTAGTTATCATGGAAAAAGGCAAGCTTGCTGCATTTTTCTACAAATTTGTCTGGTGTTATCTAATGTGCCACTATTATTTATGAGATGTCCATATATAAGCTAGTGTACATTATCTATCTTTGTTCATAGATAATTAAGTAGTTCTGATTCTATTTTTATCTGGTTATTTGAATGCATACAAGTACCTAGTGTTAGTGTTTGTGGCTGTGCTCGGATGCCTTTCTTCCCCGGTGGTTGCAGCTGCTGCTGTTTGATATTTGTGTGCAAAGGCAACTTGCTTGTCTCTCTTTGTCCATGCACTGTTGGTCTGTCTATCCTAAAACTGGATTATGCTTGAAGCTATGGGATGTTTAGTTTTGTTTTTGTACCTTAGCTCCATGTGTTCTTGATCTATTCAAAGCATGTAGCATGTACTTGTAAGTCGTATAGCACTATTGCACC